CCCTTTTTTCTTTTCCCTTTCCCCCCTTTTTTTCCTTTTTCCCAATTTCCCTCCCTTTTTCCCCACTTTTTCCCCATTTCCCCTCTTTTTTCCCTTTTTCCCCCTTTCCCTTTTTCCCCCTTTTTCTCCCCGTTTCTCCCTCCCCATCCCCCCCCTTAATTTTCTTCCTTTTCCCCTTTTCTTTCCTTTTTCCCTCTTTTTTCCCTCCCCCCTTTTCTCCTTTTTCCTTTTCCCCATTTCCCCTCCCTCTCCCCCCCTTTTCCCATTTTCCCCTCTCTTTCTCTGCAGAGGGCAGCACCATCCCGGCCAATCCCAGAAAATTCCCCCGGGATTTTCCCTTCCCGAGCAACTGGAAAAAAAAACTCCGGGAAAAAAAAAAAAAAAATCAGGATTGGGAACAAAAAAATCAGAATTTTTGGAAATCCTTAAAATTTCGGGATGGATAAAAAAAAAAATTGAATTTTTAGCATTAAAAATCCCTGGAAAAGCGGGAAAAATTCCAGCAGGGAGAGAGGGAAATTCCAGCCACGAGGTTTTGGGAATTCTGAGCGTTTTCCCCAAGATTTTCTGGGATTTGGGGAATTTCTGCCCATACCAACCCCCGGGGAATTTTTACGGATTTATCCCAAAATTTTCATGGATTTTTCCTGGATTTCTCCCGGATTTTTCATGAATTTATCCCAGAGTTTTCCTTGATTTATCCTGAATTTTTCCTGGATTTCTCCCAGATTTTTCATGGATTTCTCCTGGATTTTTAATGCATTTATCCCAAATTTTTCATGGATTTATCCCAAATTTTTCAAGGATTTATCCTGAATTTTTCATGAATTTCTCCCAGATCTTTCATGGATTTATCCTGAATTTTTCATGGATTTCTCCCGGATTTTTCACGGATTTATCCCAGAGTTTTTCACAGATTTCTCCCCAATTTGTCATGGATTTTTCCTGGATTTCTCCCAGATTTTTCAGGGATTTATCCTGAATTTTTCATGGGTTTATCCCAGATTTTTCATGGATGTATCCTGGATTTATCCCATATTTTTCCTGGGTTTATCCCAAAATTTTCCTGGATTTCTCCTGAATTTTTCATGGATTTTTCATTTATCCCAAATTGATTTATCCTGAATTTTTCATGGATTTATCCTGGATTTTTCCTGGATTTCTCCCCAATTTCTCACAGATTTGTCCTGGATTTATCCCAAATTTTTCATGGATTTATCCCAAATTTTTAATGGATTTCTCCCGGATTTTTCATTGATTTCTCCCACATTTTTCCTGGATTTTTCCTGGATCTATCCAGAATTTTTCATGGATTTCTCCCAGATTTTCCATGGATCTATCCCAGATTTTTCCTGGCTTTCTCCCAAATTTTTCATGGATTTATCCCAAATTTTTAATGGATTTCTCCCGGATTTTTCATTGATTTCTCACACATTTTTCCTGGATTTTTCCTGGATCCATCCCAGATTTTTCATGGATTTCTCCTGGATTTTTAATGCATTTATCCCAAATTTTTCATGGATTTATCCCAAATTTTTCACGGATTTATCCTGAATTTTTCATGGATTTCTCCCGGATTTTTCACGGATTTATCCCAGAGTTTTTCACAGATTTCTCCCCAATTTGTCATGGATTTTTCCTGGATTTCTCCCAGATTTTTCAGGGATTTATCCTGAATTTTTCATGGGTTTATCCCAGATTTTTCATGGATGTATCCTGGATTTATCCCATATTTTTCCTGGGTTTATCCCAAAATTTTCCTGGATTTCTCCTGAATTTTTCATGGATTTCTCCCAGATCTTTCATGGATTTATCCTGAATTTTTCATGGATTTATCATGGATTTATCCTGGATTTTTCCTGGATTTCTCCCCAATTTCTCACAGATTTGTCCTGGATTTATCCCAAATTTTTCATGGATTTATCCCGGATTTTTCTTGGATTAATCCCAGATTTTTCATGGATTTTTCACGGATTTCTCCCGGATTTTTCATTGATTTCTCCCAGATTTTTCCTGGATTTTTCCTGGATTTTTCCTGGATCTATCCAGAATTTTTCATGGATTTCTCCCAGATTTTCCATGGATCTATCCCAGATTTTTCCTGGCTTTCTCCCAAATTTTTCATGGATTTATCCCAAATTTTTAATGGATTTCTCCCGGATTTTTCATTGATTTCTCACACATTTTTCCTGGATTTTTCCTGGATCCATCCCAGATTTTTCATGGATTTCTCCCATATATTTCCTGGATTTCTCCCAGATCTTTAATGGATTTAACCCAGATTTTTCATGGATTTATCCTGGATTTCTCCCGGATTTTTCATGGATTTCTCTCAGAAATTTCACGGATTTATCCAAAATTTTTCATGGATTTATCCTGGATTTCTCCCGGATTTTTCCTGGATTTCTCCCGGATTTTTCCTGGATTTCTCTCAGAAATTTCATGGATTTATCCAAAATTTTTCATGGATTTCTCCCAGATTTTTTCTGGATCTATCCCAAATTTTTCATGGATATATTCCAGATTTTTCCTGGCTTTCTCCCAAATTTTTCATGGATTTTTCCTGGATCTATCTCAGATTTTTCATTGATTTCTCCCAGATTTTTCTTGGGTATATCCCAAATTTTTCCTGGATCTATCCCAGATCTTTCCTGGATTTCTCCCGGATTTTTCCCGGATTTCTCCCGATTTTCCGGAGTTTTGTGGGGAATTCTTTCCTGGGGTTTTCCCTGGCAAAGGCAAAGCCCGGCTCCGCTGAATTCCCGGCTCTGCCTCCTCCGGGGCTCCCAACTCCCGCTTGTTTTTCTGCTCTCCGCTCCCAGCGGGAATTTCGGGGAAGGAAAACAACTCCGGGAAAAATCGGGAGGAGAGCGGAGCCAGGCTGAGGTGAGAGGGAATTTGGGAATTATCTGGGAAAAAAATCCCGCCCTGGGATGTGGGGAAGGGATTTGGGGAGGAATTCCCAGAGAATCCTTGGGAGCGTCCGAGGAAAGGCCGGAAAATCCGGGAATTGTGGGGTGGGATTGAAGATCCTGGAATCCCATCTGGAGAATTCCGGGATTCTGGGATCAGGGATCCATCCTGAAGGATTTTGATGGGATTTGGGGATGGAAAAGAGAAATGGAGTCCTGAATTCCCAGGGAATTCCCAAAATTCCTTCCCGGAGAGGAGTCAGTGTTGGAACGGGGTGGGATTGAAGATCCTGGAATCCCGTCTGGAGAATTCCGGGATTCTGGGATCAGGGATCCATCCTGAAGGATTTTGATGGGATTTGGGGATGGAAAAGGGAAGTGGAATCCCGAATTCCCAGGGAATTCCCGAAATTCCTTCCTGGAGAGGAGCTGGGATGGGGATGGATGCAATGCCAGGCCGGGAATGGAGGGAATTCCCTGGGAAGGGGATTTGGGAAGGAATTCCCGGAGGATCCCGGGCCCAGGGACAGCTCGGAGCACCTCGCGTTGCCATTTCCCGTCCTTTCCACCCAAACCCTTCCCGAATCCCCCAATGTCAGCGGCCAGCGCCCCAGCCGGGATGGGCCGGGATGGGGACACCGAGGGGACACCGAGGGGACACCGGGGACACCGGGGCTGGGGACACTGAGGGGACACCGAGGGGACACCGGGGACACTGAGGGGACACTGAGGGGACACCAAGGGACACAGAGGGCTGAGGGCATTGAAGGGACACTGGGGCTGGGGACACTGAGGGGACACCGGGACTGAGGGCACTGAGGGGACACCGAGGGGACACTGTGGGACTCGGGAGGCTGAGGGCATCGAAGGGACACCGGGAACGATCCGGGAGCTGAGGGCACCGAGGGGACACCGAGGGGACCCCGCGGCTGAGGGACCGGAGCTGAGGGCACCGAGGGGGCACCGGGGCTGAGGGCAGAGCCGCGGCACCGAGAAGCTCCCGGGGCTGAGGCACCGAGGGGACACCGGGGCTGAGGGCACTGAGGGGACACCGAGGGGGCACCGAGGGGACATCGAGGCTGGGGACACCGAGGGGACACCGGGGACACCGAGGGGACACCAAGGGGACACCAGGGACATGGGGGGCTGAGGGCATCGAAGGGACACTGGGGCTGGGGACACTGAGGGGACACCAAGGGGACACAGAGAGGACACTGGGGCTGAGGGCACTGAGGGGACACCGGGGCTGGGGACACTGAGGGGACACCAAGGGGACACCAAGGGGACACTGAGGGGACACCGAGGGGACACTGAGGGGACACTGAGGGGACACCGAGGGGACACTGAGGGGACACCGAGGGGACACCGAGGGGACACTGAGGGCACTGAGGGGACACCGGGGCTGGGGACACTGAGGGGACACCAGGGACACTGGGAATGATCTGGGGTTGGGGACACCGAGGGGACACCAGGTCTGAGGGCACGGCGATGGCACCGGGAAGGTCCTGGGGATGAGGGCACCGAGGGGACACCGAGGGGACACCGGGGCTGAGGGCACTGAGGGGACACCGAGGGGACACCGCGGCTGAAGGCACGGCGGTGGCACCAGGAAGGTCTCAGGGCTGAAGGCACCGAGGGGACACCGAGGGGACCCCGCGGCTGAGGGACCGGAGCTGAGGGCACCGAGGGGGCACCGGGGCTGAGGGCAGAGCCGCGGCACCGAGAAGCTCCCGGGGCTGAGGCACCGAGGGGGCACCGGGGCTGAGGGCACTGAGGGGACACCAAGGGACACAGGGGGCTGAGGGCATTGAAGGGACACTGGGGCTGGGGACACTGAGGGGACACCGGGACTGAGGGGACACCAAGGGGCCACCGAGGGGACACTGGGGCTGAGGGCACTGAGGGGACACCAAGGGGACACTGAGGGACACGGGAGGCTGAGGGCATCGAAGGGACACCGGGAACGATCCGGGAGCTGAGGGCACCGAGGGGACACCGAAGGGACCCCGGGGCTGAGGGCACGGCGGGCCCGCGGCCTCGGCCCTGGCAGCGGCAGGTGAGTGCGAGCGAGCGAGCGAGCGAACGAGCGGGGCCCCGCGGGCGGAGCCGCGGCCGCGCCGCTTCCCCGCGGCTCCCCCGGCAGCTGTCACCGGGCTGGGCAGGGCAGCGAGGCAGCAGCGGCCCCGCTCCCCGTTCCTTCCCGGCCATGGCGGCCGCCGCCTCCCCCTCTCTCCTCTCTCTCTCCCTCTCCGTCTCCCTCTCCTTCGCTCCGTCCCCTCCCCTCGCTCCGTGCCCGCCCTCCGCCATCGCTCCCCCCTCAGGGACCCCGCGCTCCCTCCTCCCTCAGCCGCCCCCTCAGGGCTCGGCTCGGCGTGGGTTGAAAGTTGATTGCAAAAGTCCCACCGCGCTCCGGCCTCTTCACCTTCTCCTTCCTTCCTTCCTTCCTCGCTCTGCTCGAAATTCCCGACCTCATTCCCGGCTTTTTTTTTTTTTTTTTAAATTTATTTTTTAATTTTTTTTTTTTTTAATTCCCGCTTGGAAAATGGCACCGCCGCCCCCGGCAATGGGGACGGGCCCTGGGGTGGGGTTGGCTGCGGGTGGCAGCGCTTTGTGTGAGGGTGACATTCCCAAAATATCCAAAAATATCCCCAAATATCCGCGAAATATCCTCAAATATCCCCAAATATCCACGAAATTCCCTCCAAATCCTCAGGATCCCACCGCTCCAGGTGTCTCTGGAGCGGCATTCCCGAGCCAGGTGCATCGGGAGCAGGGGGCTCTGGGCCCTCCATTCTCCAAAATTTCCTTTTTTTGCCTTAATTTTTGTGTAATTCCCAAAATTTTTCCCCCTCCCCTCCCCTAAATTTCCTGTAAATCCCATCATTTATTATTTCCCTGTCCTAATTTTCCAGAATTCCCAGAAATTTTCCCTTTCCCTGCCCTAAATTTCCTGTAATTCCCCAAATTTTTGCCTTTCCCTGCCCTAATTTTTGTGTAATTCCCAATTTTTTTTCCCTTACCCTGCTTTAAATTTCTTGTAAATCCCATCATTTTTTCTTTCCATGCCCTAAATTTTCCATAATTTCCATATTTCCCCCATTCCCTGCCCTAAATTTCCTGTAATTCCCAATTTTTTCCTCCCCCACTATTTTTTCCATAATTCCCATTTTTTCCCTTAATTTTTCACAATTCCCAATTTTCTGCCCGAAATTTTCCATAATTCCCAAATTTTTCCCTTTTTTCTTCTCTAAATTTTCCAAAATTCCCAGATTTTCCCTAAATTTTCTCATAATTCCCTGAATTTTTCCCAATTTTCTGCCCTAAATTCTCCACAATTCCCATTTTTTCTGCCTAAATTTTCTCATAATTCCCCAAATTTTCCTTTTTTCTCCCTTAAATTTTCCAGAATTCCCCATTTTCCCCCTTTTTTCTGCCCTATTTTTTCCATAATTCCCAATTTTTCCCAAATTTCTGCCCCAAATGTTCCATAAATGCCAAAATTTTCCTTTTCCCCCCTAATTTTTCCATAATTCCCAATGTTTTCCCTTTTCCCCCCTAAATTTTCCCATAATTGAATTTTAAATCCATCAATTAATCAATTAATTAATTAATTTATTAATTAATTTATATATTTCTCTTTTTTTGTGGAAAAAGTTGAATTAAAACCCCCCAAAATTCAGATTTTCCCCCTTTCCAAACCCTTCCAAATTCCCAATTAATTCCAATTTTTATTCCCTTTTTTTTTTGGATTGGGAGGAAAATTCCTGGAAATTTTTGTGGGTGAAAAAAAAAAAGGGAATTTTGGGGGTTTTTAAATGGATTTTTGGGGGAAATGGAGGAAAAAAAAAAGTGAATTTTTGGGAAAACTGGGAAAATATTTGGATTTTTAGGGGGAAAATGGAATAAATTCCAGGAAAAAAATGAAAAAATTGCAGGATTTTCATGGGAAAATGGAAGAAATATTTGGATATTTTAGGGAAAAATGGAGAAATATTTGGATTTTTTGGGAAAAATGGGAGGTAATTGGGGATTTTTAGGGGAAAAAAGTGGATTTTTAGGGAAAAATCGAGAAAATTCCTGGATTTTTTTTGAAAAATGGGGGAAATTATGAGGAAAAAAGGAGAAAATTCCAGAATTTTCATGGGAAAATGGAGGAAATATTTGAATTTTAGGGAAAAATGGAGGAAATCCAAGGAATTTCTGGAATTTCTGGAGCTCTTTTTCCTGGGTTTTGAAATTTAGGGAATTTTTTATTCCTGGGTTTTCTGTCTCTGAAGGAATTCACCCCAAAAACTGCAGAAAATTGGGAGAAATCCACAAAAAAATCTGGAATAAATCCGGGATGAATCCATGAAAAATTTGGAAGAAATCGATGAAAAATCCGTGAAAAATTTGGGAAAAATCTGGGAGAAATTCATGAGAAATTCAGGGAAAATCCAGGAAGAACCTGGGAAAAATTCATTAAAAATTTGGGATAAATCCAGGAGAAATTAATGAAAAATTTGGGATAAATCCATGAAAAATTCAGGAAAATTCTGGGATAAATCCATGAAAAATTCAGGAGAAATTAATGAAAAAGTCTGGGATAAATCCAGGAAAAATCCGTGAAAACCTGGGAGAAATTGATAAAAAATTCAGGAGAAATCCAGGAAAAATTCATGGAAAATTTGGGATAAATCAGGAAAAATCTTGGATAAATCAATGAAAAACCTGGCAAAGATCCAGGAGAAATCTGGGAGAAATTAGTGAAAAATCTGAAAGAAATGAATTAAAAATTTGGGATAATTCCAGGAAAAATTAATAAAAAATTCGGGATGAATCCATTATAAAACCAGGAAAAAAATCAAGAAAAAAATCAGGAAAAAATCGGGATAAATCCGCGAAATTTTCAGGAAGAATCCGTGAAAAATTTGGGATAAATTCATTTAAAAATCCATGAAAAATTCAGGATCAATCCAGAAAAAAAATTCATGAAAAAATTTGGGATAAATCCATGAAATTTTCAGGAAAAATCTGTGAAAATCCTGAATTTTCCCCTAAATTTTCCCTGGAATTTCCTGGAGCTTTTCCCAAAATTTTCTCCAATTTTAATGAGATTTTTCTCAGAATGTCCTGGGTTTTTCTCAGAATTTCTTGGAATTTTTCCCAGATTTTCCTGATTTTTTCCAAAATTTCCTCAGATTTTCCAGGATTTCCTGGATGTGTCCCAGATTCTTCCCAAATTTCCTTAAATTTTCTGGGATTTCCTGAATTTTTCCCAAAATTTCCTCAAATTTTCTGGGATTTCCTGGAGCTTTTCCCACATTTCCTTGAATTTTTCCTGGCATTTCTTCAAAATTTCCAGGATTTCCTGGAGCTTTTCCCAGATTTTTTTTGGAATTTCTTGAATTTTTCTCAGAATTTCATGAATTTTTCCCCAGATTTCCTCAAATTTCCCAGAATTTCCTGAATTTTCCCCCAAATTTCCCAGAATTCTCCCATTTTTTCCTGAAATTTCCTGAATTTTTCCTGAATTTTTCCCAGAATTTCCACAAATTTTCTGGAATTTTTTCCAAATTTCTGGAATTTTCTGGAGCTTTTCTGGGATTTCTTCAAATTTTCCTGGATCTTGCTGGGTTTTAATGGAATTTTTTGGAATTACTTTTGTTTTTCTGGGATTTTTTTTCCACTTTTTTCCAAGGATTTTTTAAAGGATTATAAAAAAAATTTTTAAAGGAATTTTTTGGGATCTTGGTGGATTTTAATGGAAATTTTTGGGATATTTTGGAATTTTTTTGGGGATTTTTTTTTAGGATTCTTTTTTATTTTGGGTGGGGGACTTTTTTGGGGATTTTTTTTTCCATTAAAAAAAATTTTTAGGATTTTTTTGGGATCTTTGTGAATTTTTGTGAAGAATTTGTGGATTTTTTTAGGATATTTCGGGATATTATGGATTTTTTTTGGTTTTTTTTTTTTTTGATTTTGGTTTTTTGGGTTTTTTTTTAAGATCTTGGTGGATTTTTTGACAATTTTGTGGATATTTTGTGGATATTTCTGGGGTTGTTTTTGGGATCTTTCAGAATCTTAGTGAATTTTTTGGGATTTTTGTGAATTTTTGGGATAATTTTTAGGAAAACCTGAGGAAATCCTGGAATTTTTAAGGAAAGGTCCCTTCAATCCAATCCCATCCATTCTCCCAAGATGGAAAAAAATGAATTTATTTAAAAATCAAATTATTTTCTATTAATTTAAAATTATTTAATTTAATTTCCAGGATTTTCCCCATTTTTCCATCCGGAATGAGCAAAAAATTCATTTTCCATTGGAATTTTTTGGGATTGAGACCAAACCATCCATGGAAAAACCCCAAAATTCCAGGAAAAATCCCTAAAAAAAATCCCAAAATAATCCCAAATCTTTCTTTCTGCAGGATTTGGGATATTAAATTCCCATGGAATTCCTGAGCTTTTAGGATTTCCCTGGAAAATCCCAAATTTCCCATGGTCCAGCCCTCACCTCCACAATTCCCAGGTAAGTTCGGAGCTTTTTCCTGGAATTTTAGGTTTTGTTTGATAAAATATTTGGGAATTGTCAACAGCAAAAAATCCTTGGCTTTTTCCCCATTTTTTGGAGAATTTTCCCAGTTTTTTTGGGATTTTCCCAGGATTTCTGGGAAATTTTCCCAGATTTTTTGGGGATTTTCCTTGTTTTTTTTGTATTCTGTGTTTTATTTTAATATTTTATTTTGTTTTGCTTTTAAGTTTTATTCTATTCCATCTTCTTTTATTTTAGTGCGTTTTGCTTCCGTTTGGTTCCGTTGGGTTGGGTTGGGTTTGGTTCCGTTGGGTTGGGTTGGGTTTGGTTCTGGTTTGGTTCCGTTGGGTTTGGTTCCGTTGAGTTCATGTTGGGTTGAGTTCATGTTGGGTTGGGTTTGGCTCTGTGTATTTCGGTTCTGTTAGGTTCGGTTCCATTGGGCTTGGTTTGGTTCCGATGGGTTCCGTTGGGTTGGGTTGGGTTCCGTTGGGTTGGGTTGGGTTTGGTTCGGTGGGGTTGGGTTGAATTCATGTTGGGTTGGGTTTGGCTCTGTTTGGTTTGGTTCTGTTGGGTTGGGTTCTGTTTGGTTCGGTTCCACTGGGTTGGGTTTGGTTCTGTTGGGCTTGGTTCGGTTCCGTTGCGTTGGGTTGGGTTGGGTTGCGTTGGGTTGGGTTCCGTTGGGTTGGGTTTGGCTCTGTTTGGTTCGGATCTGTTGGGTTCTGTTGGGTTCAGTTTGGTTCCATTGGGCTGGGTTAGGTTTGGTTCTGTTCAGTTCCATTGGGTTGGGTTTGGTTGCGTTGGGTTTGGTTGGGTTGGGTTTGGTTCTGTTCGATTCCGTTGGGCTCAGTTTGGTTCTCTTGGCTTGGGTTGGGTTTGGTTCTGTTGGGTTGTTTTCAGTTGGGTTCTGTTCGATTCATTTCAGGTCTCTTGGGTTGCGTTGGGTTTGGTTCTGTTGGGTTTGGTTCAGTCCCATTGGGTTGGGTTGGGTTCCGTTGTTTTCAGTTCAGCTCGATTCCGTTCTGTTCGGTTGGGTTTGGTTTCATGGGGTGCAGGTGGATTGGGTTGGGTTCAGTTGGGTTTGGTTCTGTTGGGTTCCATTGGGCTTGGTTTGGTTCGGTTTGTTGAGTTCTGTTGGGTTGGGTTGGGTTGGGTTTGGTTCTGTTGCGTTCCATTGGGTTCTGTTTGGTTGGGTTCTGTCGGGTTGGGTTTGCTTTGATTTTGTTCCATTGGGTTGGGTCTGGTTCCGTTAGGTTGGGTTGTTTTCAGTTTCCTTTGGTTCCCTTCAGTTCCATTGGGTTGTCTTGGGTTTGGTTGGGTTCAGTTCAGTCGGGTTGGGTTTGGTTCCACTGGGTTTCGTTCCGTTGGGTTCTGTTGGGTTTGGTTTCATGTGGTTCCGTTCGGTTCCGTTTGGTTCTGTCGGGTTGGGTTTGGTTCCATTTGGTTCCGTTGGGTTCCATTGGGTTGGATTCTGTCCATTCTGTTGGGTTGGGTGAGTTGGGTTTGGTCCCGTTGGGTTGGGTTTGGCTGGGTTCTGTCGGTTTGGGTTTGGTTGGGTTTGGTTGTTTCGGGTTCCGTTTGGTTGGGATCCATTCGGGTCTGTTCGGTTTTGTTGGGTCGGGTTGGGTTGGGTTCAGTTTAGTTTGGTTCCATTTGGTTTGGTCCCATTTGGTTTGGTTCGATTGGGTCCCTTTGGGTTTGGTCCCATTGGTTGGGTTGGGTTTGATTCTGTTCAGTTGAGTTCGGTTCCGTTTAGTTGGGTTTGGTTCCGTTGGGTTCTGTTGGGTTCCGTTGGGTTGAGTTTGGTTCCGTTGGGTTGGGTTTGGTTCTGTTGGGTTCTGTTTGGTTCCGTTGGGTTCGGTTGGGTGCCGTTGGGTTGGATTTGATTGGGTTTGGTTCTGTTTGGTTGGGTTGGGTTGGGTTGGATTTGGTTTGGTTCCGTTGGGTTCAGTTGGGTTCGGTTGGGTTGGGTTTGGTTCTGTTGGGTTCTGTTTGGTTTAGTTTGGTTCCGTTGGGTTCGGTTGGGTGCCGTTGGGTTGGGTTCCGTTGGGTTTGGTTCCGTTGGCGGTTGGGTTCCGTTGGGTTTGGTTCCGTTGGGTTCGGTTCCGTTGGGTTCGTTTGGGTGCCGTTGGGTTGGGTTTGGTTCTGTTGGGTTCTGTTTGGTTGGGTTAGGTTCCGTTGGGTTGGGTGCCGTTCGGTTGGGTTGGGTTTGGTTCAGTTGGGTTTGGTTCGGTTGGGTTTGGTTCGGTTGGGTTTGGTTGGATTCCGTTGGGTTTGGTTTAGTTCGGTTCCGTTGGGTTTGGTTGGGTGCCGTTGGGTTGGGTTTGGTTCTGTTGGGTTCTGTTTGGTTTAGTTCGGTTCCGTTGGGATCGGTTGGGTGCCGTTGGGTTGGGTTTGGTTCTGTTGGGTTCTGTTTGGTTTAGTTCGGTTCCGTTTGGTTTGGTTCCGTTGGGTTTGGTTGGGTTTGGTGCCTTCCCCGTTGTTCCCTCGGTGCCGATTCCCGGCGCTCCGGCTTTTCCCTTGGGCCGCCCGGGGAACGGGAATTTTCCATCCTCAGCAATGCCGTGGAAAATCCAGGAATCCCAAATCCCCGGGAATTCTAGGAATGCAAAATCCATGGGAATGTTGGGAATCCCGAATCCATGGGAACCCCAAATTCAGGGGAATATTGGGAGTCCCAAATCCCTGGGAATTCCGGGAATCCCAAATCCCCGGGAATCTTGGGAATCCCAAATCCTTGAAAATCCAAAATCCCCGATCCCTGGGAATTCCAAATCCTTGGGAATCGCAGGAATCCCAATCCCTGGAAATCCCCTCCCAGCTCTGCCTTTTCCATGAAAAATCCCAAATTCCCGAGGAAAATCCCAAATTCCCGAGGAAAATCCCAAATTCCTGAGAACAAATCCTTTCCCTGTTGTTTACCCTCAGGATGTCCTTTGGCAAATCCCAAAATCCCGAGGGAAATTCCCAAAATCCTGTTGTGTTTCTGCCCCAGGTGCTCCTTTGGGAATTCCCAAATTCCTGAGGGAAATCCCAAATTCCCGTTGTTTCCCCACCAGGTGCTCAGTAGGGAATTCCCAAATTCCCGAGGCAAATCCCAAATTCCTGTTGTTTTTTCCCTGCCAGCGCTCTGTAGGGGCATCCCAAATTCCCGAGGAAATTCCCAAATTCCTGTTGTTCTGCCCCAGGTGCCCGGTAGGGAATTCCCAAATTCCCATTGTTCCGCCCCAGGTGCCCGGTAGGGAATCCCTAAATCCCCAAATTCCCGAGGAAATTCCCGAATTCCTGTTGTTCTTTCCCCTCCAGGTGCCCGGTGGGGAATTCCCAAATCCCCAAATTCCCGAATTCCCGTTGTTGTTCCCTCCAGGTGCCCGGTAGGGAATTCCCAAATCCCCAAATTCCCGAATTCCCGTTGTTGTTCCCTCCAGGTGCCCGGTAGGGAATTCCCAAATCCCCAAATTCCCGAATTCCCGTTGTTGTTCCCTCCAGGTGCCCGGTAGGGAATTCCCAAATCCCCAAATTCCGAGGGAATTCCCGAATTCCCATTGTTCCGCCCCAGGTGCCCGGTAGGGAATCCCTAAATTCCCAAATTCCGAGGAAATTCCCGAATTCCTGTTGTTCCCCTCCCCCCAGGTGCCCGGTAGGGAATTCCCAAATCCCCAGGAAATTCCCAAGGGAATTCCCGTTGTTCCCCTCCCCAGGTGCCCGGTAGGGAATTCCCAAATCCCCAAATTCCCAAATTCCCAAGGGAATTCCCGTTGTTCCCCTCCCCAGGTGCCCGGTAGGGAATTCCCAAATCCCCAAATCCCCGAGGGAATTCCCGTTGTTCCCCTCCCCCCAGGTGCCCGGTAGGGAATTCCCAAATCCCCAAATCCCCGAGGGAATTCCCGTTGTTCCCCTCCCCC